TACTTCTTTCACTGAACGCTGGTGTAAAAAAAAAAATCCCCCAATAGGTTGAGAATCAGGAAGACCTCAGGGCCTGTTGATAAAATAAATCGCCCCCGATACACGTCTTTCTGGCAGCTTAATATTGTGAAGAGATTAGAGATAGAATAGCCCTATAATTAAAAAACACCAGCGTTCCTGAAGGCACCTCTTTTATGGTCATATGAGGTTGGCTCCTACAATGGGTAATTTAATTTACCAATTCATTGCTACTGGTTCAACACGGGGCTTTTGGCATACGTCACAGTGAGTCCACTGTTTGTCTGTGGCTTAAAGTTCACAACAGACAAGCGGGAGGGGCAAAATAATTCTTGTTCTTCCACTTGGCTTACTCAGACATATATAGGAGTGAAAGGAAGCCTCAAAGGTTAGAGTGGTTGTCTTGTGACCACATGGAAGGTATCCTGATCCAAATCCTGGGAAATGTACGAGACACTCTAGTGACATCACAAACTACAAGCTGAGCAATACAAGTCTAACTCTTTCTGTACCGTCCCTGAATGACCCTACAACTGAAAATATGGTTCCTCTTAACTTTTGTGAGCCATTACTCAATGTTTAAATCTCAAAATGTGCCATCAAATCAAATGTTGGCCATGAGGGTAGTGCAATAGGTCGCCATTGTCAGTATGTGCATCTGAGTATTGTGTTTGTTCAAACGGTGTATGACTGATGATATGTGTATGTCTCTTAATGTCCACTATGTTTGTATATGTACATGTATGCGGAACTGCAGGACGGAGTCCAGAACAAATTTCCTTACAGGGACAACAAAGTATATCGTATCGTATCAATCAGACAGCTTCTAACTCCTCATAATCACACACCAATCTTTACATGTTCAGCATGACTCCTTTACTGCAACCTATGTTGTTCTTGCATTAAGTCACATCTAAGAGACCCTATTATGCTTTTTGGGCAATTGCTTTTCCCTTTCCTGTAGTGTGTTATATAGGTTGTTGTGTATGTAAAATAGTAAAATCCCCAAGTTTCCTCCCGAGGGAGTTTCTCTCGCCCTCCATTGGACTCCTTTGTTTACTTCCAGAACATAGTGACATCACATCGTAACACTCACGCTAGGGCTGCTCAATTCATCGTATTTTAATCGCGATTATGGTTTGTAACGATTACGAAAACAACGTAATCGAAATAAAACGATTATTTTTTTATTATTACTTTTTTTAATTTTTTTTTTTTTTTTTTCCAGTTGAGTTATTCTTAAAGTTCAGGGTAATCAACTGTTAAAAACATACTGTTCACATTTTTTTTCTCCAATAAATGGATGTTTTCAAAGTCAATGAATAATCACATTTAATAAATCGCAATCACAATTATTGACCCAAATAATCGAGATTATGATTTTTTCCATAATCGAGCAGCCCTAACTCGCGCTTCTATTGGCTAGTGCTCCAACAAGGCTAAGGTGCGGGACATCTCTGAGCAGTTGACCAGCTAACCAATCAGAGCAGACTGGGCTCTGGTTTCAGACGCAACGTGAAAAGAGCTGCTGCAGCACAGGCAGTAAGAGAAAAATAAAGAGCTTTTTGAACATTAGAGCAAGGAGACATGTCTTTGTTGAAGGACAAAATACCTGAACCTGGAAATTAGCATAATCAAACAATTCTGGTTAAAAAAAGAGAGGGAAAAATGCCAAGCAATGAAACCAGTAACATGTCTGGAAAGCAAAGGTTCCAGTGGAGCTGCTCTGTGGTCAGAAGCAGCAGACTGTGATTGTACTGAGGAGGTGAGAAATGTGCGGAGCTGTGTGAATGTTAAGTGAACGCGTGAAGCTGAAGCGGCGAGGTGCTGAAAAGGACCGAACCATGTGCCGGCTCGGGCGAAGATAAACACAGTACGACTATAAAACACAAACTAAAATAAACTCAGACAAGAAGTGAAAGAACATTCTGTCCGTTTAACACGGATGGCAAATATAGCTGGCATGCTCACTGTATAAATACACAACTACATCCAAGTGCGTATTTTTGATATATAGGCAGCCATTAAATTGGAGGTTTTCAACTCTTTGCCAGTCGAAATTCTCAACAAAATGTTCACAGCTTGTGACAATACAAAGGCAAAAAATGTATTTAAAAAAGACATTTTATGCAGAAATTGGCTAAAATAGAACTATCAGTTTTAACAGGAGAGATGAGTCAGAATTAGCAAATCCACACAAGGGAAATCACAATTGTTTTCCAAAGCTCGTAAAAGGTATAACGAGGTAAAAAACTGGTGTGAATGTTGTTAAATATGTAAGGATGCAGTTTAAATGAAATGTTCAGAATTTCATCCTGGGTTTCAGAAAAGGGAACTGAGACATCTCAATGAACATTCTCACTTTAAGCTATTCAAACAGGCCTGCTGTTGTTTGGGTATTCTTGTGTGTATTCCACTGTCTTTGCATGTTGGTGGGGGACAGGTTCGGTGTTCTGCTGTGTACCTACAGCATGTACATGTTGACATAGTGGAAGTAAGTATAAGTGGAGCATGAACACACACACACCAACAGACACACTATAACTCACCTCTTCAATCTGTGTGATTGTTTTTGTATTATTTGACTTTAACTATATATTTATTTGTTGTTCCTCTATTTTATTTTCTATTCACTATATATGTAAAGCGTCTTTGAGCACCTGTCAAAGCGCTAACAAATTAAATCTATTATTATTACAACTCACTTAACTAGTTTTGTCTCAGTCTCTTGTTATGTGAAAAGGAGTTTCAGATGATTGATTATGTCACAGCCCTACATGCACACAAACACAGAGAGCTCACACCTCAGGGTTACCTTCTGGGCTCATTATAATCCCGACCTGAGAAAGAACCAGGAAGTGGTTTTCCATTTAAACTGACAGGTGACAGATGTGTCTGGTTTCTGTGTGGCAGCATTCCTGCTGTCAACATGGAGCCACACCACTGCTGTGTGAAACGTGAATGGGATGTCTCATTGTGTAATGCTTCGCCCAAATGCATACCACACATCGCCCAATTCACTTTGGCCTGCAGTGTGATGTGTACACAATCAATACACTCCTCCGTGTAGTAATACACTAGCATTCCTCAAAGACAATATAGCACCATGTCACTCACTTGACACTACCAGCTAGATTTAGAGCACTTTATTTTAGGAAAGCATCCAATGTTTAGTTATATAAACTGTATTGAAGCACTATTTTGATAAAGAACATTTCCAATGTTCTGTTTCTTAAGATTTTGTATTGAATTGTACCGATCCAGCACTTGATTGGACAGCATTTCTGATGACAACATCGGCTTGAATCAAAATACAATTTCCAGAAAATGTATATAAAACAGAATGGAGAAAAAATATATATATTTAAATCAATCAATTTAACTATTTAGTAGTTTTACGAACTGTATTAAACATTTGATAAGGAATGAAAATAACTGCTCCAATTAAAATACCGGAGCACAAGCTAAAAAGGTTGGATATTTTTCATAGTGTGTTTGGTGGTGATTGAAAGATATAAAGATATTCCAGGAAAAATAAACATTCATGGTACACGAAGGTTGAAGAAGATGTCTTTTCATCATTGACAAACACAGACATCAGCCCTGACCCGCCCTGTGTGATCACCATCATGACTTACCAGTCATGTAGATAACATGCACACCAACACACACCGAGCTAGATGCTTAAAACCAGCATGGCAGGACAATTACAGGCAGGTTTAGCAGCTCTGGTCACCACAGCACAAGTTTCACAAGAACTTCTGGGTTCAGGAATGTACGATGGCATCTTGTAGTGTACATGTTCAAAGAAAGGCCGATGAAGGTGATGCTGATTGACAGCCGAGTCTCAACACGACTAGGCAAACATTAAAATATGGTATCTATTGACCCATTTTCACTTTAAGATAAGGCGGGCCCTTTCATACTCACATTGTGCAGACAAGACTTTAATGATTTACCATCAATAAGTCTTCATAGACACCAGAAAAGGGAACGGCCCGTCCACACACAGGCATGAAAAAAAGCTTGAAAAAATCTTGATGCTGGGCGTGTCTGAAGCTTGGCGATTTTTTGCGAGCAACGCGACCAACAACCAATCACATGAATCTCCCGCCCCCGACATACAAAGCAATAGCAATGTTAAAACGAAGTAAACTGGATATAAACTTCCCAAACAGACGAAAACCTACCAGTTTCACCCACTGTCTCTGCCACCTCCCTCCATGCCTGGTTCCTCCGGTTTGTATCCCGGTAAATAGTCTGGTCGGAAAGAACCGGGTGATTTGCTACCGTAATTTCTCGTTTGGAATATGAGGAAATGAACTGCGGTCTGGCTCTCCCAGCTTGCACGCGGTTTGATTGGCTAGCGCTTGTACTGGCGGGATTTGCATAAACGGGATTTGATTGGCTGATGCCAGCTTCGAAAGCATCGGGAGCATCAAAAGTTGAACATTGCTCAACTTTTGATGCTCAGGATGCTTGCAAAGCCATGCTCCGCTCCCCACAATGCAGTTCGGCGAAGATTCAAAATCTTCTACGTCACCCCATTCAAGTGAATGGGCGAAGCTTTGAAAGATTTTTTTCATGCCTGTGTGTGGACGGGCCGTAAGTCTGAATTTCAGGGATACTGTATTACTGTTGTTAAAAAAAACACAGAACATTGGACCCGCAATTCAGGTCTGCACCCACGATGAAACCACGGCTGTCGGTCGGTCTAGGGGCAAAGTCAAGTTTAAGATTAGGCTACATGATGGACCGTCCAACTAGTTCAGGTTGTCATTCATGTTAACTTTTGTTTTTTTAAATGGAGAAGTCACAAGTTAAAACCGTCTGGAAAGTGATCTACATCGGACTGAATCACAAGCTTATTTTGTATCATCCGTACAAGTTCATAATATTCAGGGTTAACTCAATGTTATTGTTTGGCTGGGACACCATCAGCTCACACACACACACACACACACACCCTCCTCCCCTCTTACCCTTGAGCAGTGGCAAGGGCGTGAGCTCTATGGGTTTGCCCTGAGAGCGGAACTGGGACGAGCTCTGCGACCGCTTCTGCTTGGCCTTCCTGACAGACTTCCGTGAAAATCCGTCCACTTTGTCGGCAGATGGAGGAGATGTGGTGGCTGCCGAGGACATAGCCCTGCTGGGGGAAACATACAGGGGGGGGGGGGGTGGTTAATACAATCATTAATGAGTTGAGAGCGCTCAGCGAACTGAGGGCAGAGTGATTAACACAGATTTGAAAGTTTAGCAGAATAGAAACACAACAGTGGATTTCTTAATAGAAATTATAGCATATTAAATACCAATACATTAATCAGTATTCCTGTGAAAAATAAGGCAATCTATTATGAAAGTGTTGTTAAGTTGCCTTCTGTTGAGATTGAATATTTTTTAAAGAGCCTCTGAGTGTATGGAGCCCCAATGTGTTAAATATTAAACACTTACTAATTGAATCTATAAAGGAATAAATTGGGAAATTATTTGATAAAATGTTAAAACACGTTATGATAAAATGATGTATCACATGGGTTCTTTTTTATCATAGACATTTGTATTTAAACATAAGAAATGTCTATGACATGCTATTTGTGACCACAGACTATTAAGACAATCACGTGAAAAAACGTTTCAAATGTTACTTTAAAATATTTCACATTGTCTTATGTATTATATAGTTACTTCTGATTGACTTTGAGGATCCATGTTTACATAAACGATCAGTGTCGCTTTGAATCACCAAATATCATTTTTTTGACATTATCATGCAGCTCTCCTACAATAACTTTTTTACGATAGTGAGCTCATAAAAACTTAAAAACATCCTCACTGACTTTTTTCTATTCTGTGTCAGTCCACCTTCCCTTTTTGGCGTCACAACAAACGAGTGCAGACACAACGGCCCACTTTGAACCCCTCCGAAGAGGCCTGGTGCGCAGACACACTGCCTTTCCTTCTTACATGCCAACGGACCAACACACCAGAAACACCAGTCTACCCACAACAATGGAGCCTTGGCCGTCACCACAGAGGGAGGAAGCTGAGGAAACGTCCACTGCTGGGTGTTTGCTGCCAATATAGTCTAAAAAAAACTTCTAACATAGACAACCATCAGCAGAAGTCACACTTGTCACTCCAAACTAATGCTTAAGTACTTTCCTGAACCACACCCATTAGAAAAACCTCAGTAAGTAAAATAAAGATTGTTCCTGAGGGTATGAGGAACCGTCTGGTAATAATGAGAGCCAAAGTCAACGGCTGTGACGCTGACAGTTTCGGAGTATTCTGATTGGATTATAATTCGTCAACGTAGTATCCATGTACATATCGGTGGCTGTTCTAACGCGTGTTCATCTACCTGATACATCACAAACACCCGTTAGAGCAGCAGTAAGCCAGACTGTGTGCTGGAGGTTTAAATGACATTGTTTTAAACACAGTAGGGCGAGCATGTCAATATGCAACCTGATCAGACTTACATTGGATATGATAAAGTCACACAATAACATGTTGCAAGCTATTCAGATACATTATTGACTGGATTCCTTCCAACATATTCAAATATTTTCTATGTATCCATTTAGTGATTCCTGTAATTGTGTTTTAGTCTATTTCAAATGTAAAAGGTGCATTTAAACGCTGCTTCAACATTGCGTGCAGATACTATCAATTCTTTAATTTGATGAATGCTAGTTACTAGGCGAGCTCATCATGATCAGATAAGTTAGATACATATTGCATTTTGAAAGCACAAGAGAAAAAGTCCAGGGTTTAGGATTTGATCTGCTGATGAACAAGAAACTATTTGATGGAAATTCATCAAATAGTTGAGATATTATACCTAACGTCTTGGACTTAAAACAATACTCTGTGTCCTTTACTCTGACTTCCACATGAGCTAGGACCTAAGCAACAGTGAAGACACTGATGTCCTGATGCAGGCCACACAAACTCAGCTGGATGACATGAAGGCTTTAGGGAGAAATGAATTACAACTCTAGCAGAAGCAGTTATGTAATAAGACGTGAATGAGACGCTGCAGGCCGTACTCTGCGCTGGCTGCATCTCTAATGCTCTGTCAAAGTCACACAGGCAGTCGTACAGTATGTCCTGCAGGCCCCGTATATATACACAGAGAGAGAGAGAGAGAGAGAGAGAGGAGAGAGAGAGAGCGAGAGAGAGCGAGAGAGAGAGAGAGAGAGAGAGAGAGAGAGAGAGAGAGAGAGAGAGAAGAGAGAGAGAGAGAGAGAGAGAGAGAGAGATAGAGAGAGAGAGAGCGAGAGAGAGGGGAGTGTAGATACGAGAGAGAGAGAGGAAAGGAGAGAGGAGAGACACACACCACTCTGTCATCATGTTTACTGCAGTTTTCAAGTGATAAATGATTGTTGAGTAGCATCTGCATGTGGTTAGAGCCCAATTCATAAGAAGTTTAAATAAATATGTTTGTGTGTAATATTAGAGAAATCTAAACTGAAATAGCAGATAAGCCGAGTTAAAACAAAGTTACTAGACGTGCAAAAAGGAAAAAGAGAGGGGCAGCATCCAAATGTTGTACGAATTTAAATGTCAACCCTATGAAAGAAGCTTCAAACTATTGGGACAGCCCTCAAACAACTGACCTTTTATTCTTTAGCAGACCCATATCGAGGCCCGACTCAGGGTTTCCCCAACGACACAATTTGTACAATGTGCCCTACTTTCCTAACTTATAACAAAGTTGTCTTTTCCCAGACATTGCTGTGACGCTGATTCACTTCATTGCTGTGACACAACTAATGTAGTTAGATAATGGATAAACCATAGCCTGACTAAAACATGAACTGGAGTCTAATATTACTCTTAAATATAAATCAAACTAAATGTAATTAGGAACGTATTTTATGTTTAGGTGAAGTAAGGCAATAAATCACATCAATTGCAGATGATTCTGGTAATCAATTAGTCACTCAAATCACATATCAAGCAATAAATGCTAATTGTTAGCTCTTTATAAAAAGTTAGCAATAGATTTTTATCATTTTATATTAAATATCTTTGCATATTTTTACAAGACAACAACTTAAAACCTGTCACCATTTGGCTCCAGGAACTTTTGTAAAGTATTCTTCACCATGTTATCTGATATTTGAATGATCAATAAAGAAATCTTTGGTTAAATCTTTAGCCAGTCTTAAAAATGTAACCTGTCATAATGACATACATTTCGTTTCACTAGAGCTCAGCGAAACCCTACCACACCCTACAGACACACACTTGCATATGACAAAAACCAATTTGTCACGTGTCAACACAGCTCATTGTCTTTTCCTTAATAACCGCACAGCTGTTGCTCCGAGCCGTCTGTTGGGCATCACCAGGGTGGCAGAACACCTCCAGCTGAACACTGATCTGTCCTATCACTGGCTGGTAGCACACCATTCATCTGTGGATCCTGCTGTGTGGTCATAAACAACAATAATAACAATTTGCCTTTCAAAGTTTGGCACAGGGCTTCATTCAAATGCCATACAAAGTGTTTCCAACAGCATCTCCTGCCCGAGCGAAAACCCTACAACAAACTGCAACCTGACACCTCGACACCTGTTCAGCCTCGCAAAGACCTTTCAAAGCGTAACGCAGCCTTCAGAAAATCACCTTCAGTCTGAGATTATCTGTAGATAAAGGCGTAGAGGGGGTGACTCTAATGTACACACACTTTGACACCGGTTTATATTGCTAGAAAGAGTCAAATCCACTGATGGCGTATAGCAGTAGCTACCAGCAACTATCCCAGGACAGTTTCTCTCACGGGCTACAGGGGAGTTCTCTGATGGAGCTTTCCTAATTCAAACTGACGGTGTGAGAATAGAGGTTGTGACAGAGCGGAAACTATTTGCTTGATAATTAATTAGTTGTTTGCCAGAAAATGAACCAATTTCAATATTTGTTTTAGTAGTTTTCTGAGCAATAACAGCATACGGCTGTGGTTGGTTGCAGCTCCTCCAACTCCATTGTTAAGTAAATAACTTTGTATTTTTGACTTTTGGTGAGACATACAAATACATTTTAACATATTCGGGGATACAATTTTCTCTGTGTTATGACATGTTTTAGACAAAGCAATTCATTTATCTAACAAAATGATCAGCCGATTAAATTAATGTAGAAAGTTATTGTTGGTTCCAGCACTAGTTTTAGAATAAGAGATCCTTTATTTGTCCCACAGCAGGAGAATCTACAGCGATACAGCAGCAAATGCAACACAAGGAAAAGAGTATATATATATATATATAAAAAAGACAAAGGCACGGTAAAAAAAAAAAGTAGCATATTTTAAAATCGTAATTAAGTAGAAAAACGTGCATATGATGTAAAGATTGTAGAGCCATATGTGATTAAGGGCTGCAAATACAATGACTTTTAAAAAAGATATAAATACTACCCTCACACTGCACCCAAATACAACTTCACATCTCTTCCAAGGATGATTTAATACAGCCAGTCAGCTTCATTCAGCTCTGATCAAACACACTCAGCCGCAATTTGGGATGCAACGGTGAAGTTGTACATCCCCATCAGTCAGCAACTCCTAGCTACATCACCAATGGCAACGATGAAACACTTCAAGAGCTGTCAATGCTTTTGCCACCTGGTGAATGCCACCACAGCCTCTGAAATATCTTAATGTACAGACTCGAGCTTACCTGTGCAAAGGGGCACTGAAATCCCCGTGTACAACCATCAGTCACTTAATGTCTGCCTCTGTCTGAGTAGACAGCTAATAGCGATAAACACTCCAACATACGAGGGACAGCGAGACTACAGCGGCTGGTCAAGCGTATGGCAACCGAGCACAAAGCCGTTCCCCTCCCATGCCTCTTACATAAGAGCCCAGATGACATCCAAACAGGCTCAGGGAGGGTGGGATTAAAGAACAAGGAGGAAGGAGAGAGGAGGGGCACAGCCAACAACAGGGAGAAACAGAAAGGGAGGAAGAGGAGGGAGGTAGCTGCTGTTCGACAGGAAGTCAACAAATAGGCAACGGCAAGGCAGAGCTGAAGTGAGGGAACAAACAGGAACACACACATGGGAGATCTAAAGCAGGCTGGCACGAGGAAGCCTCAAGGATCTCTCGTCTGTGGTTAACATTCAAAACAGCCCAGGAGGTGAGCAAACACACTAGTCTGCGTATGAATGAGTTGTTCTTGCAATACCTCTAAACTGTAATGAAAAACAATCTAATGATGGCATTCACTCCTGATTTACTAAAACAGTGAAATCAGTTCAAGAAATAGTCAAATGCAACCTTTAACTTCAATGTGACAATATTTAAGCTATGGCACAACATTCATGATATTTCCTAGTGTCATATAATGATTCCCATAACCACATCTACTGAGACACTTTAAGGAAATGTCAAATTTGTTCCGGCATCTAACAATCACCCGTTCCCAGAGAAAGTTGTTAGCCACAAATTGTTTACTATCCCAATTGTATTCCTTATTAAATAAAAAGGAGAAAATGTCAGGAAAAATAGCAAAAACATCAAAAATATTCATATAAATAAGAACAAACTCTCAAATCGAGTTAAAAGAGCTGCGTCCTACTCGGTTATTGTTGTAATATGTGCGCGGACGCCATTGCCCATATAAAGGTGATAACGTTTTAAATAACTAACTTACAGGAAAAGACCTATTCCTCTAGTCACCCTAAAAAATGTTGCGCAGATAACTGAGCATATCTGAAATTTCAAAAAGGGAAGCTTTAGTCATGACAACTACAGAAAATGTCCTTAGATCAATGTATTAAGTTTAAGCCAAAAACGTAACACCAACAAGCAGCCATATCTGACTAAAAGAGCAAGACGCAAGTTTCATGCGTATCACATTATTATTTCAATTCACAATTTCCTAGAGTTGTCGGTTAAGTAGATAAGTGATTCTAGCCCTAATAAGATCAGTATTTATCACAGATGTACTATTTCAAATCGTTCTACTACTCACTTCTTCGTAGTGCGTTCTGTAGCCATTCTGACTGAATGCTGCAATGTGATGGCCCATCTGATTGGTATGATTCATTGAGCGGATAATTACACTGTTCACACAGTCGAGAACAAATGAACTCAGCAACTTTCAGACGTACGCATAAATACGAAGCCATACAGAACTGATAAGAAGGAGGCAGTAACTACACATCAGCGTCATCATAAACACAGGAGACTTTGGATGTTAAGCTATCTGAGCAGCGGCTGGACCTGCCCCTCAACACAATGTGACATATAAAAACCTTGAAGATGAAACATCGTGACAGTATCCAAATTAAGGTTACGCCTACACACAAAAAACACACACTGGGATTGCAAATATCACATATAATGCCGCACCTGGCCTTTGGCATGCTGCGGTCATTGATTGCTAACCAACAGGACAAAGGCCAAGTGGAAATAAAAGCTAAAGTAACAATTAAGTATACTTTGATTTTGAGATATTTCACCTTCCTTTAATATTTCTATTTCCTCCTACTTTAGTAGTTTCAGAGGAAAAACGAATAAATGTTTACACCACTACCTTTGTCATTTTAGATCCAATATACAACTCAACCAATACAGTACGTGGTATTATCATAGGTTACAATTAGGGTTGGGAACCGAAACTCGGTTCCAGATGAGAACCGATAAGAAAATGTCGGGTACCGGGTACCCATACAAAATACACAATTTCGGTTCTGCTTAACGGTTCCTAAACACGGTAGACCCATGGGTAGACCCTGTATTCCACCGGGTCCGTCTACGCCGCAAGTCCGTCTATGCCGCGGTGACCCGGTGGAATACGGCCAGGGTAAGGGAGGACTGGCCATCTGTGTGTTCTGAAGAATCACAGAACGGCCGGTCGTCAGCGGGCCGTTGACGACCGGCTCGGTACGCTGACGGCCGGCACCGCCCTTCATTTTTAAAAACGGCATCATGTAAGTTGCGGCGACTGAGGTCCACAGTTGCCCTGCAGCGAGGCTGCCCCCGCCCTCCCGTAGACAGTTCACGAGTTCAGTCACTTCATAACACCAAAGATGGGTCGCGGTAAACGCTCTAAAGTGATGCTCCACTACACTAAAAAAATAAAAAGACAAGGCACAGTGTAATGCCTGTTAATAGCTTGCCACAGGCATAGCTCAGTTATAATAAAGCACAGCTATTGTGCAATACATTTGTATTGCATGTATATTTTTTTATTTATAAAAATGTCAGTTAAAGCTTAAAAAAATAAAGATATTTTTGTTATCTAAACGTTTGACCTCTTTCTTTTACAATTTTGGAATCGAAACGGGGAATCGATAAGAACCGGAATCGATAAGCAGAACCGGAATCGGAATCGATCAATTTAAAACGATACCCATCCCTAGTTACAATTGGATACAAATCCACAAGCTAGCAGAGCATCATATACATTTGTTAAATTATCCCTACCTTTACTAGCAAAAGCATTCATGTGATTGAATCATAAATGCATCAACAAATACAATCTAATTATTGTGTGATAGGCCATTCTGCTTTTACTTTTGGTACTTCAAATATATAGTTTGAATGCAGGACTTTTACTTCTCACCTGGTGTTTCTGTACTGTAGGAATGCTTAGTTTACTAGAGTAAAACACCTGAATATCTACCACTGATTCTAACCCCTCATCTTTTGCTTTCTGGAGCTCTCACTCGTCACCATGCCTGTTTCTACCTCTCATCATCCATGTCACTACGGTGTCATTAGTGGTGTTGATCTCTCCGACTGCTCGTACACACACTAAACATTGAAACAATGGTAGCCTGTAGAAATAAAACATGACAGACCAGTGGCATATTCAGAGTTTGAGAGACACACTATCTTAGTGCAAAACCAGTCAAAGTTAATCTCGGATTATCGCCACACATTTGACAGTTGGCTTCACTTGACATGAAATCTAAACTTGTCTCAGGCCAGATTGACGGGGCTTTTCCTTCAACCCATGAGTTCATTTAACATCAGGATTTGAACATCAGGCCAACCTTCCCACTGCTTCCTAACCTCAGAAGGATCAGCCTCTAACCTACCACCTATGACAAATAACAATCAGGATAATATCCATTTAAACTTGATCTTTCCTTTCACTGCAACTCAAAGGGAAATATTGTACTTTACTACATATACAGCTCTAGTTTTTGCACAGAACACATATGAATGGTTTCAGTATAAGAGCAACTTTTTAGAAAATGGTTTAAATGATCTGCTCTTATATTAAATCTTGGTTGATTTGAATTTCTTTTGAATGTGTTTAAATGTCTTTTTTATTTATTCAGGGTTTATACTGTTGATTAGACAAAACAAACCTTACTATTTGAAGTAAGTTTAGTTTTTATAAACCACACAATTGATCAATTAAAAAAAGGAGAGAATAATCCAAATTAAACCCCCTCCCAATTAACGATAATAGTAAAATCTCTGCTTTACATTATTGCATGGGAGATAATAATATAACATCTATTATCAGTTGAATAATATCATATAAATAAGCATAGAGATAGCCGGGACCTTTTGCTACTTGAATTACTCAAAGTAAAGTTTTCCTGATAATAACATATGTTAAATGCAGGCATGTAAAGTACTGTACTTAAGTACAATTCTGAGGCATTTAAATGATTTGCTACTCTGTTCTTCTGCCCCACTACAATTCAGAGGGAAATCATGTTATTTTACTTCACTACATTTGTGTAGTACTTTTAGTTACTTTGCAGACTTGGATTAAGGATGTGAAATATAATCAACAATTAAATAAGACTTCAGTTACACGGCACCTGGAGTAAGCTAAAACTAGCTACACCTTTACTAGCTTTGATTTACTTATTAATGCATCAATAATTATAATCAAAACATATAATACATATTATTCTGAAATGGGCCAATCTGCATAATGAGTACTTTAAGTATATTTTGATGCTAATACTTTTGTACTTGACTAACATTCTGAATGCAGGACTTTTACTTGTACAAGAGTATTCCTATACTCTGGTACTTCTATTGTTACTTAAGTACACAAGTTGAGTACTTCTTCCACCTCTGGCTAAATAAAGTAAGGTTTCCAATTAAGGACTTTTACTTGTAACAAAATATTTCTACACTCTGTTAGTTCTGAGTACTTGAACCTCCTCTGGTTAAACAAAGTATAGTTTCCAATGCAGGACTTTAACTTGTAACAGTACTCCTACACTGTGGTACTTATATTTGTACTCAAGTACACGTTCTGAGTACTTCATCCACCTCTGGTTAAATGAATTAACATTTCCAATGAATGACTTCTACTGGTAACAGATTATTGTTACATTGTGGTATTTGTACGTTAACTTATGTAACAGATCTAAATACTTTCTCGACCACCTTTATCAGCTACACATGTATGTTCAAAAGTATATTTTTTAGAAGGAGTGTCGTTAGCTTGGCCATGTTGGGCCTGGCAGCAGCAAAGCAGCATATTATTCAAAACTTGACAGCGCGATAACCTCACCAACGTTAGCCAGCTAGCTAGCTAGCAACGATAGCTTCCCGATTAACCGTTACAAAGCGTCTCAATGTAACGCTTCCAACGTTAGCTAGTTGTCTCCTCAGAGCACACCAATCAATTAAATATGACTGACATTGACACGATTCATCGTAGTATCAAAGCTCTCCAGTTGTATTAAAGAAAAAATGAATGTTAAGATAGCTAGCTAACGTTAGCTCTACGGCTATCGCGGGTTAGCTCAAGTTGTAGCCTTTAGCTTGCTAGCCACCAACTAGCTTCCAGTGCATCTTACAAAAACACAACATTTAGATCAAATCTAAATATTTACATGAATGCTAATAAAATAACATTACCTGGGCGGACTTGGGCGATCACCCATCATCCCAGATGTAAATACAGGGGGAGGGGGAGCAGTGCTAATGCTAAGTGACAGACCGGGGAAACACACACCGTCCCGAGTCCCGACAAGCTGCAGCCGACCGACTGGCTGTTAGCTCTCCAATCGTAGTACTTTACCTTGATCCTCTTGTGGGGTTTGCAACGGAGACGGCGGTGGAGGAGTTTATCCTATGTTTTGAAATATATCGGGGCTAACAGGCTACCTCCAGCACGGTGCAAAAACAGCCTTTCCCCCCAAGCAGCAGCAGCGGGCAAAACAGCAGGAAAATCTGGCCTGAAAACAGCCAAACCCACGAGTACCCTTTTTCCTTCCAACGGAATAATCCTCAAACTCCCATTAATAACAAAACACGGCTGTATAAAAAACGATTACGCAATTACATTCCTGTTACTGATTCAATTGCTTGTCTTCCCCAAACCCCTGGATTTGTGGTGTTTTATCCTTTAGCTCGTTTATGAATCGGGGCTGTTTCTTGTTCACCCTATTGTCAACACTGGCTGGGTTAGACCATGGCACATAACAGAGCCGCACAGTAGCGTGCTTGACGGGTTAAACGTCGACGTACGAGGCCGATTGGCTGCCCAGAGCAATGTCAAGCGCTGTGATTGGACGAGAGGCAATGTCGTTCAAAGTGCAAGCGTCTGCATCTGATGGTTAGGTAGAGGAGAAGGGACAAGGAAAGAGATATCGGGGCTGAACCATGGGCTGAACGCAAAGTGTGTTTGTGTGGAGTCTCCAACACACAGCGTGTAGGAATGAGGCTAAACCTGTCCGAGGCCCAGCCCTTTGCTTCTACACTTTTTTACCCGCACTTTGACGACCAGGCTTTATTGATGGTTTATTATATGTCCAGCACGTTGCAGCGCTGTGTTAAGGATGGGTGGATTTCTGTACAAGCCCCTAGATTAGAGAGGGATATGTTAGCAGGAAACGTGTTACATAACTTAAACATATACTGTCCATATGAATATAGCCAATGCTAGGGCATGTCCGTGGGCGAACTCAAAAGGGGGGGGGGGGGGGGGGGGGTAAAGGGTGGGCAAGGTGTTCCCTTACTTACTTGTACTTTACTACAGTAGGCCTATTTATATTTGAACTTCTACTTTATACTTATATTAACAGCAATTGGAGTCAATGTAGGTTTAAAAAAAAGATACTGAGCCAGGGGAGGTCTGAAAATTAATATTCAGAGAAAAAACGTAAACATAAATGTAAAGGATAATATGGTAATTCTGGTCTAAAATCAAGAGTGTTTATTTTATGCTGAATCTTATTGTCAAGAACAAGACCGTTTTTTAACTTGCAGTTGAGACTGCCATTTTTTTCTCCAAATAAGATATATATTTGTGATATATTATACCAGTTTACTTACAGTGTCAGCCATAAAAGCAGGTATAGTTCCAGTATAATACATTTTTACAGCTGCAGCTATTTGTACAACTGAAGATTGGTTTCTAGAAATGTTACTGTAAAATAAGTGATAACGGTATCATAAAAAAAAGCTAACTGCCTTAATGATACTTGAAAAGACTAACCCAGTTTAAGTATTACTGCTCAAATAATTGCACATTTATTTGAGATAATAATAAATAATGGATTTCTCGCCTAATAGGATTTTCTTTAAAAGTTATTTTGAGTCATGACTCTCATAATGTGTTTTGTTTTATTACAACTGGGTGTTAAATGTGATAAATAAACACATTTTTCATACATTTCCCCAAAACTCTTGTGCTTAATGTGAGTAAAGATGTTGCTTCCCAAGCCTCACACACACACGCACACACAAACACACTCGCACTGCCAATCATGTTATTCCACTCGTTGCTATTTGAGAGTGAAGCTGCTCCCTCAGCGCGATCCTGCTGAGCGGCTCCGGTGACTTTCAGGATGTGATGCAGGAACAACAGTTCGTTCTGAAGGGGCTTTAAAGTTGGAATATTACAACAACAAAATTACACTTTAATGGACAGTATAACACTTTTGAACAATCTTTATTTAAAACTTATTAGAGAATATTAGAGAAACCTCAGCTGTGTACACTATATTAAGATTCACAGTATATTGTTTTTTCAGATAGTATTCAAGAGCTGTTACATGTAGTATGCAAGATGTGTATAAATGGTTTGGCAAGTAACAAATCGGACAAAGTTAACCAATATAAAATTGTTTTTTATTTTGTTTTTTTCATTTTCCAAGAGCTTTGTGGTTTGGCTCCGAGTTGTTATTCTGTTACCTTTGTATGCTCCATGGAAGGAAAATATTCTTTTTAATTAACTCTTTGAGTCTTAGTTTGGTTTTTCCAGCGTGAACATATTCATACTCCAAACCTGTTTAGGATTGGTATGTGCTATTGACTTTGGACATCACAAAACTGCATACTAACATACTATTCATACTAAGATGGTGTGACGTCAAAATGATGTGGAGTGTTTTCAGACTGCAAAGTAAGTGGATTTTGTGCATGTAATAAAAGCCTATCCGTGAAGTAGATTGCAAGAATTTATGAGTATAAGACCTGAGCATACTCAGTGGACAAATTCCCTAAATGCACTGCGGCTCTAAAGACTGTCCGATTGCAAACTTTAGAGAAGACTATTTGAATAACGTTTAGATAAAATAATTATGGCAAGTGAGATTTCAGTACAAATAATTATCATTATATATGATGTACTGTATAAACATATTTAAGAATCTGCAAATATTTCAATTTTCCTTGATATAACACTGGAAAATATTGAATAGAGTGGGAGAGGTAATGTTGATTCACATTGATGTTTAACAATGTTAATTCAACGGTAGTTTTGATCTGAAATGTTTTATACAGTCATGTCGTGCAGAGAAAGCATATTGCCTGAGTTTACTTCAGTTTGAACAGTCTTGATCTAATGGCACTTAAAGATAAATATAGAGCCCAGAATGAAGTACATACAAATTGAGTATGTAGTATGCAGTCATGTCAGTATGCAATTGCGAAAAAATCTATTGGGTTAGTTCATAAATTGGAAGACCATATTTTCCCTTTGCATTGACATTCAGTCTGTAATCTGGCAGAGGAGTAAAGTCAGTGAGATTCAGAATTTTCGCTACGCTCCCTTCTTTTCTCTCTGGTAGCCATGTTTTTTATGCGGCCTTGATTTGAGTCTCAAAGCTGATTCGCTCTTCTTGGATGTCCTTTTCCCCAACGTGAGCTCCTCCCCTCCTGGTTTCCACAGCAGCAACTGAGCGTCCTCCCCCCCCAGTGAACAAAGCCTCCCCCGCCGCGTCCCACAGGAAGCAGCGCACCGTAGAAGAGTGACCCCCCTCGAGGGTCCTCAGCAGACGAAGCCCTGCATGGTCACACTCCATCAGGTGGAGATCCCCGCTGTTCTTCCCTCCAACCACCAGCAGCCTCTGGGCCTCCTGCAGCCACCGGCACCCCACCAGGTAATCCACGCCCCCCCCGTCTGCGAGCAGAGGCAGGCCGCGGGCGTCGGAGGTGCTGAAGATGGTGAGGGGCTCGTCGGTGTCTAGCTGCCCCAGATCCCACAGGTGAAGTCCCTCGTCGTGGCTGAGGCACAGCAGCTGGGTGAACTCGGCTCCGGACCAACACACCGAGCCCGCGGACGAGTCGCTGTTACAGGTGGCCAGCAGCGCCTCGTCCTCACCCCCCCGGCTAAGGTCGAACACATTCACTAGGCCGTCTGTGGAACCTGACGCCAGCCGGTCCTTCTCTCGAGGGTGGAAGCACACCTTAAAGATAAGATAAGGTAAGATATATTACATTACATTTCATTTAGCTGACGCTTTTATACAAAGCGACTTACAATAAGTGCATTTAACCATCAAGAAAGAAACTCAAAAGCAAGAATCCTGCAGTTACATTTCTATCTATAAACCCAACCAGATGAAGTACTACTTCATTAGCTTCACTTCAAGCCAAATTCTTTGTAAGTGCTACTTACAGAAGATTTATTGGGTTTTTATATTCATACAGATTCCAATTTCATCATAACTCAAGAACACCATAGAGAGGTGAGTTCTCTGCTGGCCAGAGGCAAATAGTTGTTTAGAGTTATAGGCAAGAATTACCTGTGTGATGTCATCACTGTGCGACTCAGAATACACTCCGAGGAGCTTGCCGCCTGGTTTCCTGACGTCCCAAAAAACCAGGAAGCTGTCTTCATCGTTCACCTGCTCGGTGCCGGCACACAGGAGCGTGTCGCTGCAGTTCAAGTCGAAGCTACAGTAGTTGTGTGACGGGCCGCTTTTAAACACCTGAACCGCTTCTGACCCGGGGCGGCGGACGTCCCACCCCCGGACCGTCCCATCAGCAGAACCAGAGTACAGGGAGTCAGGGGAGGTGTGGGAGAAAACGACCCCACAAAGCGGGCCGCTGTGGCCTTGATACTGACCCACCAGGCTCAGAGTGTCCTTGTTGTGGAGGTGGATGGTAAAGTTGGAGCAGGAAACAGCCAGTAGGCCGGCCGGCTGCAGGGCCACATCCAGCAGGTAGGTGGGCTCCTCTGGGAGAGACCGCCGGGCGAGGGACAAACCTTTGAGCTTCTCCTCCAGACCCTCCATGGCAGCCAAGATTCAAACACACTGAACAGGAAGGAAACACATTGTTCAAATCAGCCTATACTCACTGTAGTTCTTATTTTTTGTTTCCCCAAAAATAATTTTCTGAGGACTACACGTGATCTTACTGGACATACTCAACTTTCCCAAAATGCAGTGCTCTTGACACTTTGCAATGGCAAACTTTAGAGCAGACAGTTTAAATAATATACTTTTGGATAAAATAAGTATGATTGATGGCGATTCACTTTCAAGTCCAGTTAAGAAAACCCTATTTATTTTTATCATATTTAAATATGTCCTGCCCCCATCATGTGTCCATTTTGATTGTCTCTTCAATCTTTCCCCGATTTGTGTTTTTATCATGTGTTGATACTTGTAACCTCTTTAACATATATTTATTGAATTGTATGGTGTCCTCACTCTTAATAGCAAAACTCAATTCAAGTTTCTTATCAATGAATGTGTCCTCGCTTATTTGTCTTGTTTACGTGCACATTAGTATCACTTGTGTTGTTGTATTAATCATAGGAGACCGTTTAGCAATTCGGCATACAATAAAAATAACAATAAAGGTTAGAAAGAAGGTTCATATTTAACACCATTTAACACCTCTCCCACCGCAATTTATAGAAAATAATGTGGCGTTTGGTGGATATTACCTGTGCCGAATAAGGCACGTTAAAATAAAAAATAGCAAGGCATGAATTGTATTTATGTAATAATGATATTTGCCACTAAATAAAGAACCATACAGATAAATATATATTTTTGAATTGAGTTTGTTGGTTTCCTAAAACCTGGAGGGATTAAAACCACAATCACCGTTTGGATCAGTTATTGGACTTTCTAAGTTATGTGTTGTTATGTGTAATAAAGTGCTATTTTAAACCTACCTACACCACAACTAAAGTAAAAAAGAACCATACACGTTGTTGTTTACTTGGACTCGTCCCTCGCCATTTGGGAGAAAACACCGCAATTCACTCGAGGTTATTATAAAGCATTTTTAAATAATGTTTTAAAGAAAAACCGGTCAAAATAAAATGATATTTAAATCACGCTACTTTAGGTCAGCGCCTTTAGGTTATAACAAGCATGGAGGAAATAGGTTGTGTCACAATATTAACGGCCGTGTCGGAACTATAGGTCAGAACCCTACCCCGATAAAAGGTTCCGCTGATCTGGGAGCGGTTAGCGTTAGCGAAAAATATAATCCAAAAAGGTGTAATAATAAATAATGGGACCACGAAGACTTTCTGTTTAACCAAATATTATTCAATTTATCTATTTTTTAAATAGATAAGATAAGAAGTACTAAAATACTATACTGACAACTTTGTCACATTACACAATTCTCAGACTATATTAATTAATCAATTCAAAGATAATAATAAATAATTCATAATATACAAACAATCTGAATCGATGCCTCTTGCTCTAACATTTTATTTCCATTTTCTGCGAGCACGAGATTGTACATTTACTTTTACGAGTCCAGCAGGTGGCAGCAGCAACTTGCAGTTTGTGACACTTAATAAATACATTGGATAAATTAGACAAATTAAACAAAAAATACTTTAACCTTCTGTCTGCTTTAAATGTGACCCTTGATATAAGAGAAATATGACTTGTTTAGTATACTTTGTGTAATACAATTATTCTTTATCTAGTTTGCACTGTCCTCATGCTGAAGCCTAAACATGTTTGCATATCTACTTAGAACTTAAAAAAGGTTTAAACAGCAGTTAGACCTTGAACCGACTTTTAAAAAAAAAGTAATAACCTTTCTGTGGAAAAAAAGAAAAGGTGACATTTGATCTTATCTACTGTATGCAAGTGTTGAACAAAGATATAATTATAACAGACTAACTAAAATATTGTAGAAAAAACAATAAAGACAAAGAACAAAAAGAAAAAGGAGGAGGGGGAGTAGCAGAAGAAGAACATAAACCATTAATAATTCCTGTAGGGGCGTCTCATAGCAACAGCATTAGGAGTCAAAGTCAGCATTGCACAGATAAGTGTACACAGAGAGATAATGAGAATATGACATAACAAATTAAGGAAAGCACCAAGATAAATGTCTTTATGTTCAGGGCAGCGGCTGGAGTCCTGTGACACACCACCACTTCACCACCATCTGTGGATGAGGTGCAGCTCTGCAGCAGCAGTAAAGTAAACACTGGAGAAGCAACGTTAAAAACCCTCAAAAATAATCTAATGTCACACATTAGAGGAGGGCACCCATGGACTGAGATAAAAAGCATGAGTTTGTTGTCCGGTAACTGCTAGAATCCACTTCAAGACACTGGTACTTGCTTACCATGCTGCGAATGGATCTGGCCCTTCGTACATCCAGGACATGGTTAAACCGTACACCCCAGCGCGTGCACTACGCTCTGCATCAGCCAAACGACTCGCTGCGCCCTCGCTGCGAGGGGGACCCAAGTTCCCATCGGCGAAAACACGTGGGTTTGCTGTCCTGGCTCCAGGATGGTGGAATGAGCTCCCCATTGACATCAGGACAGCAGATAGCTTGCACATCTTCCGGCGCAAACTGAAAACTCATCTCTTTCGACTCCACTTCGAGCATTAGAACTATTAACGAAGCACTTTTATACTAATAAAGGACTGGCTTATCTAAAGCCAGTTGAGTAGCACTTGAAATGTTTGGCTCTATGAAACCTGATGTACTTATATGATTCTGTTTTCTTCAAGGTTGTGTCTTCCTGGTCGAATGTACTTATTGTAAGTCGCTTTGGATAAAAGCGTCAGCTAAATGCAATGTAATGTAATGTTGTCTGTTTGTAAGACAAAAAACATGAACACTTTGAAGTAACTTCTAAAACAGAGGTATTCAGTTAAAAAAGTGACACCATAGCAGACAAACTATAAGTACAAGTCTTGCATTCAGACCTTACTTAAGTGAAAGTACAAACATATTAGCTGTTGGAGCGATATACTGCTTTATATTATTTAATAGTAAAACATGTATTTTCTTTCTGTCCAAGTGTATTATTATTGAAGTTAGTTAAACTTGTTCTTTATGTATTATTTTGAAGGCATCGTTGGGCACCTGGTGTAATTGTTTATACCGGAGACCGTTGGTGGTGGGAGCCAAAGCACCGTTAGATTCATTTTTGGATGTATTTGTTGTATTAATAATATGAAAAGTAAACAGTGGACCGAACCATATGGGCCTGCAGCTCTACCAACTGTGTTATACAGCGGCCAAAACTCAGTGACTGTTTCACCCATGTTTCTCATGAAAACAGTCAATAAATTCAAATACAAACAGCAAAAGTTCAATATCTTCTTGAATTTATTTAACATTGACACAAAGCTTTGAACGACAGTGACTCACTTACATTTGAAAAAAGGCAGTGACAAATGAACGACAGTGTGGGAAAATGCTTCAGTCATTTCTTCCACATTAACGCAGCTACAAAGTGCAAAAGGCAACACGATAGGACAGGATGAAAGGTAATTCAAAACAAATGAATTTTAACACATAGCATAACATTTTTCTGAACAATCAAGGCACTAAAGGGAAGCGAGGAGCAGCTGGAGCTACCCAGATCAACCCCTCTGTATATTTGGTCAACGTGAGAAATATTTTCTGTATAAAAACTCTCTGAGATCCAGTCTTTGAGGAAGAAAGAAGACAAAAATATGTTCATGTTTTTCAGAGCAGAGCTTGGGTTTTAGAAAGAAGACATTTGGACATAAAAGATGCCACAAAAATGTTGGGGTTCATTATGAATTTGTAATAAAAATTTATTAAATCTGGGGTTTTCTGAGGACTGTAAACACAGAATCTTTCCCACTTATTTAATCTTTTTTTTTTTTTTACTTTATCAGATGCCAGCGCTTTCTATAACAAAAAAAAGTCACCACAGATTAAATCAAATCTTCCATAAAAACAACACTGTGCAGAGGAAATGTCCGGCTGCCAAGATGTAAACACACACCAACACGTTCAAAGCTTCTTCTGATTATGGCAGTTTACTAAATATATCTACAGTGTCCCAGTTGTGGTTGAAAATGATAATTTCAGGTCAATAATTCACTTTTGCGTAACTTGTCATCTTAAACACCACAAGACAAAATATGTAGATTTTAACTAAACTCTTCCAAAACCTCTAAATGATCATGTTTGAATTCCATGTTATCCACACTTTGCAGAAACACAGACACTCTCATATTGAACCTTCATGTGTATCAAAGGATGAATAATAACAGGTTTAATATCTATTGTCAGAAAGGAGGGCATGTGAGACTGAACAAATGTAACTCAACCTCAGGTTTAAGGGGTTGTCTGTTTTGTTGATGAAACTTCCTGTTTCACTGGTTCAGAGAGGAAACCACATTCAGACAAAAACACACCAACAAACAGAAATATGTTCGTGCACAAGGCAAGGAAACAGGAAGTGAATCGACCAATCACAGCCGGGCTAAAGGGGAAGCAGGTCCAAAGCTTTCTATTTGCTTACAAGAGAAATGTCAGGTTTAAAACTGATGCTTTTAAATATGTTGTTCAGGATACGATCAGATTATTCAAATGTAATCTGGTCAAAATTATTTGTTTACTAGTAAGTAGTATAGTAGTAAGTAGTTTGCAAGTAATCAGTAATTGTGTGTTACCTGCATTAGTTTTGAACAGACAGCAAGAAGTATTTTCGAAACAATATTCCTGAAGTTTCCAAATTAAAAGTACTCCTGGTGGTTTATGTTGAATCATTATTGGATTATTCTTACTGATGTATTATTGAGTTAAAACTATTCTTTTGATAACCAATTAGTTTGAGTTCCTGTGTGAGAGTTATCAGTTATCTGAATTTTGAATTTTTTTGAAACCAAATCATAAATAGATGTATTACAAAATTAAAAGACAACACTAATATCTGACTGCAGTTAAAGACCTGAACCCTGCTTTAAATCCTCACAAAGCGTTAACAGTTTTCTAATAAGATAACAAACTCTGGCCTAATATGAACATTTAGGACCAGCTTCCTCCGCCTGCCTGGCTCAGGGGGGACACAGTGCATTCTGGGAACAGTGCATTTATACAATGACAGTACCGTACAAACAACATACAAGTCGCTGCCAATAAGACTCTTGATCTCTGTTGGTCTTCAGCACTCTGCCTCTAAAAGTGCCCTCGAGCAAGGCACTTCACCCACAGCCGCTGCAGTGGAGCAACACGAGGAGGAATGTGTGAATCTGTGCAGAGGTTCAGTCTTTCTGCACTGGGAAATGTGTGAGGCTGACATCTGGAAACATCCCTGGTGTTTCTGAAAGATGTTCTGCTGAAGAGAAGCACAGTGGTTTGCAGTTACACCTGTTTAACTGGGCGTTTCCTCCCAGTTCATGATAATCATCTTCTTATTTATATATAAAATAGGCACAGGGGGAACAGTTCAGATGTGTCCACAGATGAGTGGATTTCCACTGAAGCAGTTTTAGTGGTCTTTCTTTATTTCTGTGACTCAGTTGTTGTGCGAGAGGTCGACAGGAGGAGAGAAAGTCTGTGTAGACGCTGAGAAAAAACGGTTCTCACAGCAAGTTTTATCCCATAAAAAACGTTTCAACGCATGTTTTATCGTACGTGAAAATCTATCACGCATCCATCTTGTTTAGGGCTGCAGGCAGTTATTTCGGTCAATGCTGCGATCATGGACACAAACATTTTAGAATCAACTAAAAAGATTTGACAAGCTGGACTAGAAGAAGTGAAGTACACATTTAGAAATGTCTGCTTTTTTGACTTGTTCCTTAATAATAGTAAAAACCTTCTCGCACTGTAAGTTAAATCGAGATTTGAACAACAGTCAGAAATAAATGAGGAAAAAAAGGCAGGTTATTTTAAGATTGTATGCATTCTCTCAGCTACTATGATCATTTTGAGAGATTTCTAATGAGATCCACAATTGAAATATTATTTTGTGTATATTTTCTAATTCTCTCTCTCTTCTAAAATCTGAATGGTTTAGCTGAGAAAAGCTATACATCTGTATTGTGCAGGATATGCATTTGTTGCCTGACCTCGCTGTCAGCGATCCACGCGTCTTCCCTCCTGAGATCAGCGCTATCTCTCCTCCTGCCGACAGACTCTCTCTGCACAGGAAGTGGAGGGCCATCAGTTTACAGTGTTAGAGGAAAGAAAAATAAGCAGAGTCCAGTTCCTGTCATCCCGTATAAAAAACTATTTTAAACTTCTCTGTACATTTCCCAAACAAAGTGTCACTTCCTTCTGGATCATAAAATGCTTTTCTCCAGCAAGGAACAAAATATCAACCTCAGAACAGACGATAATTCCCCTGAACAAAGAGACAACGAGAGAAAGTGGGGAGAGCCCTTTAGAACAACTATACACATGCAATTAAACACCTACAAAATGATCCAATTTGGATTCCTGACACACGTCGATTTGTTTTAGTCTAACACTAAAAGTTTAACACATTTAAAACACAGGTGTCAACTCCACAGGTGGGGGGGGGGGGGGGGGGGGGGGATCAGGATAAACTCTGATACAGGAATATGGAAGTATAAAATCATATTGCTTTGAGATGTAAAAAAAGAAAGTGTATGAATGATTGATAAGCTTTGTGACAAAGAACCACACAAAGTTTAAACACTGAATGAAAAACATTTAAATAATCAATCAATCTTTTCCCTCAAGAACTCAAAATATTCACTGATGCAGATCCTCTAAATGTGAGGATTTGCTGCGTTTGTTTTTTAGGATTTCAACTGAATATTTTGGGTGTTGCTCTTTTGGTGAGTTTTAACAATACCATTTATCATCATTTCTTCTTTCATTTTACAGATAAAACGATGAAACTGCAGCCTTGTACCATTAGCTGTGTTGGGTACTTGTTGAAGAGGCTTGAGGTGAGTTTCTAAACCCTTTTCAGACAGCATTTGGTATATTTCAGTGTGAAGTCGTTAAACTCTGCCTTCCAGTACACCTGAAGGCACTGACACGTTGCAGCTAAATGCAGTACAAATGTCAGTCTTCCAAAAATGTACTTGTGTGGTTCTTTGTCGGAAATCTCAATAAAAATAAATGCATTCATAAAAATTGTAAATAGTAAGACACAGGTTATTTATCAGTAGCCATCAGTGGTGTCTGTAGTCTTTAGAATCTGATCTAATATGAATTCATCTGCTGGAGGAGGAGGAGTGGTTGTTTGGCTCCGACCCGGTTTGACCCGGGATCTGGAGGCGCCATTTATATTCATTTTAAATAAATCTAAAAGAACAGATCTGAAAGATATCACTGGTCTCAGAATCGTTAAAATGTACCAGTTTTCCCGGCTCATGCTTGCTGATCCCAACATTAGGAAAACTGAAAACACCCAGATCAGATTTTAGGCTTTAATTCCCCTTAGATCCAACCCAGAGAACTTAAAGAGGGGTTCTGGATGTGAACAGCATTAGATGACTGTAACTTCACTGTTTTCCAACCAGCGCATCCAATCAGGAGAGATGGAGGTAGCTGAAGAGCAGCGGGACCAGGAAGCCCACGCCGAAGCCCACCGTCCCGTACACGATGTAGCGGTACGGCAGCTCCACCTCCATGTGCTGCCGGGCCTTCCTCATGTCCGTGCTGGGCACCCCGAACAGCCGGCACACCAGCGGGAGGGTGAGGGCCTTCATCAGCGCCCGCATGGCCATCAGCACCAGCACGCCCAGGACGAGCCGCAGCACGGACAGGCCCACCAGGCCAGCGCTGAGGGGGGGCATGGTGTAGGGGAGCTGCTCCGGGGTGGGGTCGGGCAGCAGACCCAGGTGGTAGTTGACGTGCGAGGCCAGGGCCACGCCGGCCCCCGTGCCCAGGATCTGAGCGGTGTCGCCCCGCGAGGTGCTCCAGGTGTCCAGGGTGAAGGAGAAGAGGGCGAGGCCCAGGTGGAAGCAGACGATGATGAGCGGGGCGTAGCGGTGCGACAGGTTGAAGCCATCGATCAGGTCCAGCAGCGGCAGGAAGAAGAGCAGGATCAGGATGCTGTACAGGACGCCCACTATGACGTCCTGGAGGAAAAATAAACAGAAAAATAGGTATTTAGTCTAATGCAGAGGCCTGTACTACGAAGCTGGTTCAACCTAACCTGGATATGTTTGAGTTAGCCGGTTGGCCTAATCCAAAACATACGCGCTCTCGCTAAACGGTCCTACGACGCGGGTTATCAAGTGGATCGCTCAAGCCAGCCATGTCCTATCTAGTTAGGTGCGCGTTCACATGAAAGGGGTGGTATTTGGAGCATTCGACCAATCACAAACATGGAGAAGCGTACTGACAGCGCAGCGTCATACTTCCTGAATGAAAAGTCAACTATATAATTAGACAAATATGAAGACATTAAACTTTAAACATCCATGACTTAAACACTTTATCCAGGATAAAAGCCACATAGTCTGCACCTGCAAGGTGAATACAGCTGGCAAAAGAAAAAGTGTTTGAATGCGTACATTAACAGGTTTATGATATCACTGCCCCGTCTAAAACACGAGTGGATCTGACTTTAATTACATTTGTCTCGAGTGTTTCGTCAACTTAATGTGTTGCTTAAAATAATACTTCTGCATACAGTATGTGATACTGTGAGTGTTGCACGGCCAGATACGGCTCAGCTGACTCAGATAAGGAAATATATGATACATTATGATGTGATATGCCGCGGACTGTACTTAATGTTACTCTGATCCGGTTACTTATGTTGTGGCAGATATTTAAGTAAGCTTTCTTAACGCTAATGTTATAATAGTCAGATTGCTCTGAAAATGGAGGTGATATTCTATTAATGTTCACGTTCACACAGTCGGTGATTTTTGCCGGCCGTCTTTCCTGCGACGGCAGCTTTTCTGTATTTCCTTTCTCCTGTAATATGACTTGATCGCTTTAAACTCCGCACACTGAGCTCTGATTGGTCAGCAGGCAGTGCTTTCACTGAGTTGAGCTCTTAGCCTGCAACCTAACCGTTAGCCGCACAGCATAAGTTACCATGGAGATCTAGCCTGCTAAAAAGATAACCAGCGTCGTAGGACCGGAAACCCCGAGTTTTCCCAGAAGTTAGCCGGCTAAGCGAAAATCCTGCTTCGTAGTATACGAAGGTGTTAAATTAAAAAGTAATATAAAAAAAGGTTATTGCTTTTCATGATGACGGTATGGTTGGTTCAAGTTGGACATTGGGGATAACAAGGTTTATTTTTTGTTTTTTTTCGTGCGTGTTGTGTATGTTTTTCATATTGGACTACATGTTGAATTTTTTGGCTTGTTTGCAATATGTTTTTATTTAAATCTGACAATCGTTAGGCATAAGGCTGAAGGAAATTCAGTGTTTACGTTGCCCCAACAAACATAGGCTCGCAAAATATTTATTTTTAAAATAGTGTTCTTACGCACAAGTCTATTGACAAGAATTGTTTGATTGGGAATACATTTTATAGGAAAAGACATTTGAACATTTTGGTCCTCCTAAAGAGATTATGACTCGAGAGAGCAAAAGAATGTACACATTAATTATACTATATTTTCTGTTGATGGATAAAAGAAGTTGAAAAGAGGAAGCAGAAGTCAGCGAGCTTTACGTGTCCATGAACTGCGGACTCAAACACAAAGTTCATTACGGTCGTTTTTTTATTGAGCAGCAAACTGACAGTTGGCTTCCTGCTCCAATGTTGAGCATTTAACCGCTAACTGAGGATTTAACCGCTCAGACATACAACAGACTTCCTGCTGAACTAAAAAACCCTCACTGGTGATTCAGAAAATTCAAATGTTGTCAACGAGACAATGAGGTGCTGTTATTTGTACATACATACAGTTTCCTACAAAAATCTGAAAACAAACCGAGTATAAAAGTCTGCTACCAAGATTGTTATATTGTTAATAATTCAGAACTAACAGATCTTAACAGGTTAGAAATGGTAGAAGTAATTGTTGCAGAATGTCTTAGTACCTTGTTGTAATCAGTATGAGTATTTCTGAATTTCTCTATTTTATTGTAGAAAAATGTAATATTTTGGAGTGTAGATATAATAACATGCCAATGCAAATACTCTCCAGTTTTATTGTGCACAGAAAGTGCAGAGTGTCAATTTAAAAGTCGCTTAGCAGGCGGACAGCAGTGTCTACCTTTCCCAGGGTAAGAAATCAATGAGTGTTGCTGTAAATGTACACCAGCCTCAATCCACTGGCCAAACGCTGGAACATTTCCAGTGCTGCCTGGCATGTTAGCGCACTTTAACGGCAGCACTGGACGGAGACCAAGGTCCTGCTACAGTTTAAATATCTATTTGGCTGCTTAACTACACGTTGTGTTACAGATAAGCCCTGATCTCAGTCAGTCATTAACCAGCTCTGAACTACGAGGGCCTCAGAGCTCAGCAGGAACCCACGTCCCGGCAGCCTGACTGTACAAGGACACGTTTTACTGTCCGACAATCGAAAGCTTGGATGTGATTTATCCCCCTTACCGCTGCCTAGGGTTGTAAAATTCCAGGAATTTTCACAGATGGAAACTTTCCATGGGAATTAAAGGGAATTAAAGGGAATAAACTGGGAATTTTCAAAATTGAAGGTTGGCTCTTCATAGGGAACTTAAATATAGTTGGGGAAAGTATATTTTAGCATAATCTTGACTAAAACAAACAGATGCCATTCAAGTACACTTGAATATCCATGCCATAGCACACTGCTTACTGCATGGCTATTGAGACCACACCCCCTTACAAGCACTGTGCATTCCTCCATCACATGCACAGATGATTTCGAGAAGACTGGATCACACTTTTGAGCCCAAAGGACAAGACAAATGAAGCCACATCTTTACATTTAGAATGGGACTTTGTGGGGATTTTTGGATGGGGGTGCATTTTTGTTAATTTTTTTAATGAGTGGGGTTGGGGGGGATGAGTAATATTTAACTCAACATTCCTGTTTTCGTTCTTCAATTAAACAAATAATTGTTCAATAAAATAATTAAAACTTCTTCTGTTCTACTTAAATAAAAAAATAAATAATAATCTGTTGAAATGTCATGTTTTTTGTTTAATTTTGCATCGCATATTTCCAAAATTCCCCAACTTAACTTCCCATGGAAAGTTTCCGCCCCTTTGCAACCCTACCGCTGCCGCTGTAAACGTTTATCTGTCTGCTTCCTCCTCCTTTATGATAGTGAGTAGAGCGAGCAAGTCAGGTTTCATTGGGGGGGATTGAGAGGCATACTATGAAGAGCTGGTCAGAGGATGCGTTCAAAATTTAGTCAGTAATTTGAGGAACGTCGAAAATGAAATGCGAACGCAGATAAAAGTTGAGCTCGAAATCATCCAGCATCAATTGAAGTCTCCGGTTTTTGGGTACATTTTGGTTTCGCATGTTACGTACAAGGTGAAGGACAAAGACAGGTGGACCGAACCAAAGCTTGTTTGTCGGCATTGTTCAACTAAAATTGGTTACGCGGCTGGCAATACATCAAACTTGCACACTCTTGAAAAGGCATCACCCGAACGTCAATATCACCGGTACCAAAAGAAAAAAGGAATGAAGTGCCAAACCCAACTCCCACTAGCATTTAAGCCTCCACCACTCGCAGAAAGTTCAGACCGAGCCAAAGCTATTACAAACGCCAAATATCCTTATGTTGCCATGTTAGCAAAGCGCTACCTGGCTGTATCTGCTACCTCTGTCCCTAGCGACAGGTGTTCTCCACAGCAGGAGACATTGTTAGTGCCAGCAGATCTGCCCTTTCGGCAAGCAATGTGGACAGGTTCATCTTTCTTTAAAAAAACATGAAAATACAATGACAAGCAAGTCCTAATGTCAAACTGGCTGCTTAGGTGCTAGTACAGTACAGTTCAAATACAGATTATTTCAGTTCATCGAAAAGCTGCACCTTAATGTTCATTTTATTATATTTTGTATTTATTTGAGTGAATATTCAGTTTAATAATAATTAAAAACCCAAAACTAATAGTTTATGTTTTGTGAGTACTAGTAGCCTACAGTAAAGTTCAAATACAGATTATTTCAGTTCATCGAAATGCTGCACCTTAATGTTTATTTTATTATATTTTGTATTTATTTGAGTGAATACATTATTCACAGTTTAATAATAATACAAAAAAATATATATATATATGTTTTGTTCTGTGAAAAAAAATTCTGCTGTACCGAAAACGTACCGAACCGAACCGTGACCAAAAAACCGAGGTACGTACCGAACCGAAATGTTTGTGAACCGTTACACCCCTAATATATATATATATATATATATATATATATATATATATATATATATATATATATATATATATATATATATATATATATATATATATGAGCTGACTGAAGTAAAAATGTCCACAAGGTTCATGCTATTTGATAGATGCTTTTATCTTAAGTGCTTTACATAATGAATGAAAATATGAGTGTATTATGTCAGCATGGGTGGAACTAGAGCTAGTGATAACCCTAAATTAGACTCCTGTCTGCTGTCCACCTGAACCCTATAATGGCTTAATGGATCCAAAATTCATAAAGATTGTAAAAGTTCAATAAGGGCACCTGTTTTGGATAACTTACATAATCTTCTGCTTATCATTAAAACAAAGTATTATCAACATCAGGTGACTTATTAATTGACTAATACTTTCATCGTATTGTATTTGTAAACTTGTATGTTATACAGCACAAAATCTCAAAAAACACATTTGCCTCAGAGCAGGCTTAATCTGTGGACCTTAAAACATCCTCTATCCCAGTGTTTCTCAAACTTTTTCATACCAAGGATCACTTAACCAATAAAAAAACACTCGCGGACCACCTAACTCCACAAATATCCAAAAACACATCATTTTTTACAAATCGCCTGAAAATTGTACAAACAATTGGCAACATGTGTGATGAAGGTGCTTATCTGGGCTATATCATGCAATTGAAAGTGAAACTTAAGCTCGTTCCATTGCGGAGATATTCCCGCGAGAGTGCGAAAAACTTAAATAAATGTATTTATTTCAAATGTGAAATTTTA